TTCGACACTGGAGGAAAAGCGTCACAATGTTAAAAAGAGAAACACTAATGTGGCAAAGCATAACTGCTTTAATACTTTTATCAACAGCATCGATTTTAGAAGTGATGGAAAGATAGTACATTCTTTTTAAACAAATTAAAAAAACTCAGTCGCTAAAGTGGTTAAACAGTCCATGATGATCTTCAATAAGAGTGTCTCTAATGACAAAAACATTGCTAATTTTTTTGGAAAGTCTTATGCAGGCTCTCAAAAATTAGAAACTGATTTAAAAAAGAACCAATGTCATATTAGACAAAATGTAAAGTCTCTTCTACATAAAAATAATCATGCACTACCGAACAGAAGCTAGCACAGCAGTGTTCCCTCTACTCGCCTGAAAGCCACTGTGATTCCTTCTGTTAAAGAAGAATATAACAGTTATAGATCTATTTCCTTGACCTGTAACTTGGTTTTTGGAATATAATAATTTATTATCTCCAAGACAGGTCAGTTTTAGAACTTATAACTGCTACTTATAACTCAGCAAGTTATCTACTTTAGACAAGATATAAAGGACTCCTTAGATAAACATAAGTCCATCCTGGAAACTTTTGTGGACTTTAAATCCACCTATGACAGAGTCTGTCGCTTAAAGCTTATTAAAAATCTTCACTGCTTGGCAAAATGCTGAAATGGATCAAAACTTTGATCAATCAAAGATTTATTAGGGTTCTCTATGGACAGAACATGTTTCTTTTAAGAGAGCCCCTTATTATTTAACATTTATATAAATGATTTGCTTGATATTCTTATGTTTGACCCTGCAGTTAAGACTACATTGTTCGCTGATGATCTAGTCTTTTGGAGCTGTTTTCCAAAGAATCAACAGCAGAGCCCAATGTTAATCTCAATGATACCCAGGAAAGATTGAATCTTTGGTGCAAGAATAATAACAGGATTTTAAACCTAGACAAAACTAAATGCCAGTTTTTTACCTTGAATAGACAGCACTTTTTACCCCACCTTCTGTATCATGGTGAAGTAATCTCTGTTAGTAATAACATTATCTATTTGGGATGCAAACTTGATTCAGATCTGAATTGGAATGAACATATTTCTTATATAAAGGAAAAAATTTAAAGGAGATTTCCTGGGTGGTGAGCTGCTGATGGGTGTGTAACAGACAGACTTTCATAAATATGTATAAAACATACATTCAACCATTATTTTATTTCTGTAATGAAGTTTTGGTGACTGCTTCCATCAGTACAGTCGATGTTTTGGCAAGATTACAAAACCAATTTTGATAGTGAAGTTGGGGTTATATTTATTGTTCTGAATCAATTAAGCGCTCAGAAGAGTAATTTCCCTCAGTTCAATAGCAAAGCTATTATTTTGTCCGATACCAAAGCCGCTTTTTGCATGCTATCTCCAACAATTAAGTTTGCACTTCCAAACGAATTTACAAATGTAAAAAGATTCTCAACACTCTGGTTGACTCAACTGTCTTGCAGTGGATTCCTGATCATTGTGGTAGCGAAGGAAATGAAAAAGCCGACTTCCTGGCAAAGAAAAGAATGACTATTCTACAAACCACTAATAACCATAGACTTTTAATTCTGAAAAACTCCTAAATTAAAATTTAAGAGGAGGTTTGCCTCCTACCTATCAAATGAAGCTAAGGGAAAGGCCTGGGAGAGTCTCACTAGTTCAAAGCCAGATATTCCAGATTTTCCTCATCAATGGCGTTGTCTTTTGAATGCCTATCTTTTTAAAATTTGACTTAAGGACTCTTCAGTCTGTACTCTTTGTAACTCTGGACAGTCCATGGATAAGGAGCATACTGATGAATTCACTGCACTATTATACTTTAATTCTATTGTTCTAAAGTATTGGGAAGTAAGATTAAGACTAATTGCTTAGTGGCCAAATGTCTGGTATTAGTAAAAATAAATAAATATTGTTTATTGTTAAATAAAATAAATATTGTTTTAGAATAACGAAACAAGAATTAAGAACTCAATAAATTTTGTTTTGTAAGTGCGAAACAAAACTGATACAATAAAATTATATAAGTAGAAAATGCAAATGATAAATATATTTTATTCATTTAAGTCAATTGCTTATAATTCAAAAAGTTACCTATGCTAGAGTTTCGACTGCTTCGAGGTTTAGCAATTGTGACAGTTTCAAAAAATATTTTTAACTGAGAAAAAAGCAAAGTAACATCTTTTCCTCTGAAAATCTACAGAAAAAATTATATATATATAAGTGCTGCACCTTAAAATATGAATAAATACATACACACAAATTATAAAGAAAATTCATATTTTGCAAGGCTTATTTAAAATACAATTTGATATTTAAATTGTGTGTAAACTTACTTTTGCTACAAAAGTACCACCTTTTTTCAAAGAGTGTTGTGTATTTTGGAAGGAAAAAGAAAAAAAAACATTTTAAACTTAAGTAAATTTATAGTATTACGAATTTCACATTTGAAATAACTTAGCAATTAATATCAAAGTGAATATGAAAGGTAACACTTTAATGATTTCTTTAACTAATTCATGCATATATATATATATATATATATATATATAATAAATAGTATAAATTTCAATTAAACATATAGTTATGATGTTCAATTAAATATAATAGTTATACATCATTTGATGTTTTAAATAGCAAATGATATATATTTTAATTCAATGAAGATTCTCTAAATATGTTTGTGCATCAGAAATTCTAGTTTCAACCACAATTTTTTAAATTAAAAATAAATTAATAAAAAGAAGACAAATAAATTTTATTAATATATTTTATTTAATTATATTCTCTGGCAATCAAGTGAATAATTATAAGGGATATTCTTAGAAACAGGTCAACATTTTTTTTAAGTGTGTGTGGTGTGGTGTAGTTAATTATGGCAAAGCACACGAGGGCTATCTGCCTAAGGGGAGGGATGCCTTTCGTGGAGGACTTTCTAAGGGAAACTGGCTCGTATACCGTTACACATGGGGAACATGGGACCACGAAAAGCCCATGCAGCCAGCCCGTTCGCGGGATTCGAACCTCGGACCGAACTACCAGTGTTCAGCGACTTTACCGCTCGGCCGCTGGTGGGCCAACATTTTTAAAGACAAGTAGTGTTTGCATTTTTGTATGTGCTCTTTTTTGTTGTATTTCAAGTACATATTTTTTTCCAAAGATAAAGCCTGCCATTTTTTGCCCTAAACTCAGTGTTTTAAAGTATGTGCTTCTAAAATTTAGTATAAATATGTAGTGGAAGAAAGTATGGAAAAATTCCACAATAGTACAATATTTTATCCCAGTATTAGTAAAGGAAACAATTTTTTTTTGAATTTGTTGTTAAAGGAATTGCCACAAAATTTCCAAATAAAAGCGAAAAGAAAGAAATCCGCTTGTAAGCAAGTTAATTGATCGACTTTCCTCATAAATATCTAATTAGAATGTAAAATTTGAATATAATAATATTTATGTACTGTAATAATTAATATTTTGCAGTTATAAATCACCTTTCTCTCCCTTTTTGTCAAAAATTACCAGACTGCACTAAGACGGTTGCACTAATATTTAAATACCAAAAAAACACGCATGAATTTCTAACAATTAGAGAATATTCTCTCACATGCACACTTTTACCATATTCACCTAATTAGCCGTAATTTTATGCTTTACAGCATTGCTTAACTGATTTTAAAAAAACTAAATATAAGCATTAATAAACAAAAATTAAAGCAGCAACTTTTTGTAACATGGAGTTAGCAATATTCAGAAAAATTATGCACTGCTATATACAAATACAAAATACACATTTAATTCAAACAAATAAAAACTAATACTTTTCCTACTTATTTAAAAAGCAGATTTGCGGAAATTTTTTTTTAAAAATCAAGTTTGAAAATATTTCATCCACAGTTTCATATTTTATCATATTATTTACATAAATATATACAATACTTCACCAAACATCTGAGGAGATGTTAATTTTTTTTTTTTTTTTTTGGGTTTTGTTAAAAGGGACACGTGCCGATCCCCAGATAGAAACTGAATATTATGATTACAGTCAAAAGTCGTTAATCCGGACTCGTCGGGACTTCGGCGATTCCGGGATTATAGATCATCGTTTTTTAAATCTCAAGATGGCATGCAGAAATTAAACAATTAAAAATATGAAAAACGTAATTTATGATAGAACAATTATTATCTAAAGGATATCAAAATTTACAAAAAAAAAGCTAATATTTATTTTTTACTTTATTAAACACTCTTCAAGGAAGTTGTTTAAGTGCTTCGTTTCATTGATAATCTTTCTCTTTTTAATTCTATTAAACAGAAATAATTCTTGTTTTAGTACAAGTTCTGTTCCGTCTATAATTGGTTGTGTGTTGAGAATACGACTATTTGTTATCGAAATGTTTCGTTTCAATAACCTCTGGGTCAATCTTCACTATCGGAGCGAATTATAATGACGAGGAACTTGATTAAAATCATATCAAAGACGGATATCGAATGAAATACTACCTTAGTACGGAATTATAAACCAAATAATAAAACATCTGCCCTGAAGACAAGGTAGTGCTGACAGATCACTTTCAATCAGCGCGGGTGCGTGAAATTGATACACGATTGAGATTTCGAAACTACTTTTGCTTTGTAGATGCTTTACATATTAGTATATATATCAGAAATTCTCTTCATAACCGAAAGTTCAAGCTACTTTATAAACTGCTCTAACAGTCTGCAAAAATAATAGCGATCCAATTCGAGATTAAGGAACAACACAATCTGCAACATTAACTGAATTAGATAATTTTAGTAGCTTATACCGTCCGTTACCTTAAACGCCTGCGCACCACATATTTGCAGCCGTAAAGGTCTTCTTACCGCGCACTCTTAAACGCCTATGCGCATGCGTGAACGCGACGCTTGCGCAGAAAGTTTGTAGCTTTGAGGTGCGGATTATAGATCATTCCGGATTATGGGTGTCCGAATTAACTGTATTAACAGAACAATTTTGACTGTATTAACAGAACAAAGAATCAAACAAATGAATATGTACTCAAAATATTTATTAATTAGCAAATACTAAATATAGAGTTATTTAATAATTATATTACAACAGTTATTTAATATTTTTACATACCACAAGTTTACAGAGATCGCCTTTGATAACTATGCCACATGAATAGGAAAAAATTCAAAATTTATTGAAATAAATAATAGCTCTTTCAACAAGATAAACAGCTCTAAATAATCCAAAGAAGAAAAGATGGTAATATTTTGTTATTAGGACTGGATTCAGAAATGTATGTATGTATGCACGAGTGTGTTCATGCATGCATTTATATATGTGCGTATGAATGTATGTGCATATACACATATGCACATACATGTGCATACATGCATATATTTCTGAATACAGTCTCAACAATAGAAGAATAGCAAAAAGAGAAATAAGGCGAATTCTCCTTAATATGAGAAGAATATGCAAAATTACCAAAAACATTCACAGATCAAGGGCTAAAGCAGCAATGATAAACAAGCTGCTCTCTAGAAAGACAACTGAAGACTCCAAATTAACTGATTGGCTCTCTGAACTAACTCATTAGAGCAACCATACTTATAGATTTTTTCAAGGCGAAGGATAAGCATTTCTAGAATCTTTGAGAAAAATTCCTCCCAAAGCTTCAAAAATGCATTTTTGGGAAAATTCTAGAATTTTGTCATTTGGCAAAAAGTTGCCAAATTTAATATCAAGACCCAGTAGAAGAGTTTCTGTCTATATTTTTCTTTTTAATTCAACTATCTTTTAAACTCAAACATAAATATCTACACCATAATACATGAAATAAATTACAAATAAAATAAGTGGTGCCAAATTTGATTATAAAAAAATACACAGTGAAATTATAACATAAAATGCTATAAAAATACACAAAACTTAATAAATACAAACATAAATATTTACATGTTTTACAGCAATATATTTTGATATAGTTATAAGACTGGTAAAGTATCGCATACAAGTAATTACCCAGCAATTTTATCAATAGTTTTAGTGAGCACCTACACAAATATTAAAATAATCAATTACAATTGTAAAAGATATATGTTAAGCCCAATAAAATGAAAATTCTGCTGCCCTAAAATATTTTAGCACTATGCTGCACTGTTCACTCACTTATATTTCTCTGTCATGTATGAGTTTATGTAAAATAAAGGCACATAATTTTTTCTGAAATTGTTAGCGAAAGGTTTGGATCTACATTTTATCTCCATGCAAAATATTCTCTCTTTGATAAATACATTTTTACAATTATTATAGCTAAATTCAACATCAGATAGAAACAGAAGCCTTATTTTCATGAACTTTTTCATTCTTGAGAGCAGTAGGTAAAGTAAGAAATAATTGATAATTCAAACATTTTCCTCCATTGAAACATTTTTCATTGAGATAATGCAGTAAGCTAATAGACAATCATTTAATGCTGGATGAAAATATTTAATTAATTTTCATTTCTTTTTAAAATTTATTTTTATTTTCAGATTTGTAAAGTTAGATATATTAATTCTAATTAATTAAATATTACAATGGATAAGAGATAAAATAGCCAGCAAATGCACTGTTATTACAGACAGTTTATATGATCTCAATTTGTAAAAGATCTACGTAAATTTTGGACAAAATTCAATATACATTGTATAATAAATTAAATTTTTTTAATCAAGTAAATCTTTTCAGCTCAAGTCAAATTGATACACAGCTATTAGTTAATTACTGAATAATGCAAAAGACATTTAACCATTAGACATTATTTAATCATATACTAATTAATTATTAATCAAATATACATATTATTATCTTCCAACATATTAAGGCTGCTAGATCTTCAACATAAACTGATTTTTTTGGACTATTTTTTCTCTATAACTACACTGGTTTCTAAAAATTGAGGAAAAATCACAAAAACAGTGAAAATCGTTGAAAAAATACGGCAATTATATAAAATTTTATATGCTGTCAAATAAGAGTTGCTGAGAAAAACTGCAGTATGCAAATTAATGAAGTTGCAGTCAGAATACATCATCTGAAAGGAGCATGTTTGAGAGCAAGCCTGCAAATTTTGCTGTGATACTGAGATAAGATATCTGGGATAGCCAATTTGTAATAATGACCTCCAGGAAGAACTACAATGGAGAACTATTGGGAGACTTGAGGCAGGACAAAGTCAGACAGAAGTGGCCAGATGGCCAAATGTGAATCCTTCTGCAGTTCATAGAATTTAGCAACAATTTCTAACCATAGATTCGGCACCCAAGAGGTTCAGTCAAGGATGGCCAACTGCCATCATGAGTGCTGCTGACTGATATTTGTTGTTATGCGCATGAAGGAAGATCCTATCGAGAATATTTGGGATGCTTTAGGAAGATGTATAGCTACTCTCAAACCTCTGCAGACCTTCACTTGCAACTGCCTTGCAAGGGTAATGGCTCTTACTCCCTACCGAACTAATAAACCACATAATTGACAGCATACACATCACTGTATTGCTTCTGGGGAAGATCACACTCCATATTGAAGGTAACTTTTCTATACCAAACTGACACACCAATTTGTTCCTTTTATACATATATTAATTTCTATAACAAAATAACTGTCTGGTAATTCCTTTTCATGTTATTTTATACCTTACTATGTGGTGCATACTCTGGATTAGTTTCATTAAATTCTACATGTAACTTTTTGAGTAATCGTCATTTTTGTGATTTTTCCTTAATTAATGATAACCAGTGTATTTCCTATAAGATTCTGCCAAGCCCCTAATAGCATTATTTAGCCCAAAATATTTTGTGCACAAATTGACTCATATTAATATACTCCCCATGAACTACAATATCTTTTGCTAAATTATTTTTGTTATTTTTTTACCTATTAAATAAAAAAAAGAAAAAAAAAACATAAGTTACAACAAAAGTAAATAATTAAATATTCCATCAAAGAACATAAACATAAATTAAAATTAAAATTAACAGCACCAACTGAGCTTGAATGTATTCATCAAGATCATGCAAGCCAGTAAACTGTTAAGACAAACGGTAAGTTTAGAAAAAAAAAAAAAAAAAAAAAAATTACCTGAAATAGCAAGATAATTTAAACAGATCTGAAATGAAAAACCTTGACAGATTTTTAACTGTTGTTTTGAAAGTTACGTTGATGATAAATTCAAAAATTCATTAAAAATTATTTATTGCAATAACTTTTTTTCAGACAATTTGTATTTTATCATTTGTTAGACTTATTAAAATTTCCTTACAGTAATTACAGTATGCAATTTAAATTGGCTTTTGTGCAAAAACTGAAAATATTAGCAATGATTAGACTTTTAATAATATACAACAAATTGATTAAAAAATATTTTTAATTTAAAGGATCTTAAAATAGCCTTAGTTTTATGTGAATTTGTTTTTTGTCATTTCCCATACTGCAGAAAATTATGAAACTGAAATCAGTCCCCTCCTTATTTAAATAATTATCATAAATGAACGCTTCTGAGCATCTTAAAATAAAGCAGAGTCTTAATTTGATGAAATGCATATAACACAAAAATTTTTAAAACTGAAATGAGAATGGGATTAAACAAATACTCAAAAGTCGTTAATTGGACACCCATAATCCGGAATGATCTATAATTCCGGAACTCAAAGCTCAAAACTTTCTGCGATGCGTCGCACGGCGTAAGACCCTTACGGCTGCGAATATGTTTGTGCGCATGCGCGTTTAATGTGACGGAGTTATACGCTAAGCTAAAGTTTTTATTCAGTTACGTTGCAGATTGAGTTGTACTTAACGCGAATGGATCCTTTTATTTTTTGCAGACTGTAGGCAATTTTTAAAAGTAGCTTGAACTTTCGATTATGTCAACTAGAATTCCGATATATATTACTACAAGCGAAGTATATTTTTGAAATCCGAATTTTTTCATTTCACGCTGCTCTGCGGCAGAGGGGAGATACTTCATTTTAGATTAGATAGATTAGAAATATGTCAAATGAATTCGATTATATTACTAATATGTATTTGTATCACAAAGCGAAAGAGTTGAAATCCGAATCTGTTTATCAATTTAACGCCGCGGAGTGAAGTTGATCTGTCGCACTTCATATCTTCAGGCAGATGTTTTGATTTTATTTGGTTTATAATCCTACTAAGGTGTATTTCATTTCGGTACTACTTTTGATTGATTAATCAAGGCCCGGCATTTAATCGCTTCGTAGTGAAGAAAGTGACCCAAGTATAAAAAAAAATTTCGTTACAAATTAGTCGGTATTCGCAACACAGCATTTAGGACTTGACAGCGGAACTTTTGGTACTAAACAAGAAATTATGTCGTTTAATATAAGTAAAGAGAAGTATTATCACATGAACGAAGCAACTTACATTGAAAATTTAATAAGTAACAAATAACTATTAAGCTTTCCGTTTTAAATTTGATACCCTTTAGTCATAATTGTTCTTTCTTTCATAAATTCGGTTTCATATTTTTAATTTGTACTTTCTGCATGCATCTTACCGATTTAAATGATGATTATAATCCGGAAAAATCGATAATCCGGAATCGCCGAAGTCCCGACGATTCCGGATTAACGACTTTTGACTGTATATACAGTTTTATAGACCAAGGCCACATTTCATAAAAAGAAGGGCAGTTTGTAAACCAGAGCTATGGCCAATTTTCTTGGAAGCAAAAATATTGAGCACAGCTCTAGTTTATGAACTGTTGTAGGTTTCTGCTCCAACTTATATATTAAACATAGAACTTTTTGCTGCTGTTTGTACATCTTTGAGCAGAGCAGCTAGAACATTTTCCCCCTTTTTTGGAAAGTTTAAGTGTGACAAATCACATATCAAGGATTTTTTAGCAAAGAGAATAGTTTTTCTTTACTTCTAAATACAGTCCAAAAGTCGTTAATCCGGACTCGTCGGGACTTCGGCGATTCCGGATTATGGATTCAGTTAAATCAGGGGATGGAGCGAAATTCTAAATTACAAATATGAAACCGTTATTTATTAAAAAAAAACATTAGCTCTAAAGGGGTAGCAAATTTACAAAAAAAAAGTTTCCTATTTATGTTTTACTTTATTAAAATGGCGTGCAAGGAGTTGTTAAGGTGCGGCGTTTAGGGATCATACTTTCGCGTTAATGCTATCAACAGACATTATTCTCTTCAGTTACAAAGGTCCGCTGTCACGTCCATAATTGCTGGTCGAGAATCGACGAATTGTCAATCAAATTTTTGTTTTCAAGAACCCTGGTCACTTTTGCACGACGGAAGCGATTATAATACAAGGAATTGAGTAAATCATATCAAAGATGGAGACTCGATGAAATACTACATTTAGTAAGGAAGAACCAATAAATAAAAAACTCTGCCCTGAGACAAGGCTAGTGAGGACAGATCATTACAATTCATTGCGCGCCGCAGCGTCATCGTGATGCAAGAGCAAAAGATTGTTAGCTTTGAGGTACGATTATAGATCTTCCGGATTATGGGGTCGAATTAACGAATTTGACTGTATAAAACTGGTCTAACATAAAACAGTTTGAAAAGCATTAATTAAAAGTGATAACTGGGTACTTTGTGAAAATTTCTCTTTCTCTTGTAGCTGAAGGGAGGTTTCGTACACATTTGCACATGGAATTAAGTACTTTTAAGGACTTTAAGGACCATATGAAAAATTAAGGACTATGAGCAAGGGGACTGATAAATTCAATGAAGATATCTCTTGAGACCTATGCCTGCATTTCCTACCATACTAAAATAAAAAATCCGAAGTAGTACGCATTGTTACTAAACATGAATTAATTAACATAATGTAATACTTGAAAATAAAATAAATTGATGCAATTTCAAGTTGCATATATTTCTTACACTTTATGTTGTCATATTAAAGAAGATAAGTGACATTACGTTTCTAACAGTTAGCTTTGTTGATTTTTTTATTCTCATTTGTCACATACTGGTCAGTCTAGAGGTTAGTCATAAGAAGGCAGGTTTTATGTCAATGAATAGGAAAATGAGAAGTAGACATAAAGCATGATTCATAACCAAGGATGAATGTTGGTACTGCTGCTGCTTGGTAGAAGGAGACCTGCGATTAGAACAAACCTGAAGGCCTGATGTAGCAAGATGGCAAGGTGAATATTATCAGGCTCTGTTGATGCAATTAGTGCCGTAGCTTCATGTACATATCAGGGATTGTAACCCAGTTAATATACTTTAAGGTTCCAATACCATTAAGCACCAGAGGTGAAATTGTTTTGTATATTTTAGTCTAAATAGATGCATAGTAGAATATGTTTACGTAATGTTTACATTTTTGTTACTGGTGACCGCAGTATGTTATAAGCAATAACTCGCTTAACATGTAGACATAGTTTAGGGTAAGCAGTTAGTATAAATAAATAAAGTAGTAATAGATAACTTAGTCATAATGATTACATGGTCACTAATAATTTTTTTTTTTAACAATATTATAAAAAATCCCTATTAAATCAAATCTAATAAAATTTTACAGTTGAAGTATATGTAATTTTACAAGATCTAATGAGATTAAGATAATACACATAAAAGCTACAGAGCATTTATATTTGTAATAAAACAGTCAACAAATATGATCATCATTTTATTTGAAACCTTCCAAATTTTGACTAGTTTATATCAATTTCCTCTCTTTATCTTTTCTAACAATTAGAGATTATGTTATAATTGCAATCAATGTCTCACTAGTTTCTGGTCTTTATCTCCAATTGTCAACCTCTCCACAATGGACCTATGAGGGTTTAATTGATCTGGTAAAGTTAAATAGCCAAACTCCCGACAGGCGTGAAGCATATGATCACTATGTATGAATGGGTTATTCAATTATGCAAAAACCAAGGGTATCTGCCTAAAGGGAGGGATGCTTGTGGAGACTTTCTAAGTGAAAGTGGCTCGTATACATTTACACATGGGGAAACACACGAAAACGCCCATACGCCGATGTTCGTGGATTCTGTTAGCATAAATTTAGGTATTTGCAAATGAAACTCGAAGCATACGAAAGACAACGCCCTGCCAGATATATATGGCGAGCGAAGTAAAGTTCTGAACAATGCAGTATATGTTTTTCACCCTAGCTAATGTACCTGGCAAAGGTCTAACAGTAGTAATTTCTTTTTTAAGGTATGATGTCGAAATTTCCTGTTTGTTCTCCTTATCTTTTTATCCCTAAATAGGTAACCTGATGATATTTAGGACTGATGATCTAGTAAGTTATCTTCTTTTATAATCAGTGTGTAATGTATGAGAAATTATACTTTTGTTAGCTTAAGTAAGCAAATTATCCTATTTTTAAAAAGATTTCGTAGTTAAATTTTGATGATGATTCTTTAATTGTGCTTGAGGAAAATACTCATCCCTTCAGTGCTAATGCACACACAGATTCGAACCTCAGACCGAATTACCATGTCAACGTCTTTACCGCTCGGCCTCTGGTGGGCCTTGCTATGACGAAATTAACTACAATATCAGACAAAGGTTTAAATAAGCCTCTTATTTAAAATAGCTTAAAATAAAGGAATGTTCTGATGCTAACAAAATCAAATTACACTCCGGGCATATTAAATAAGAACAGTCAAACTCAACTATAATGTGCTGTGGTAAAAGATTATACAATTCAATTTATTTAATCTGGCTCAATAACTCTATCATATGAGGAAATAGAATGGAGAATTAAAGTAAGGTTGAATCATAAACAATGGGTTATTTCATAATAACAACTGCAGATATCTTTGAGAAACATTTCCTTTATGTATTCAGTTTCTTTCTTAACGCGTTTCCTTTTCATTTTAATTTTTGGATTATTAAAGATTTCTGATATTCTAAAAACACTAAATGCATTAGATGTACAGAAAAAGCGCTATTTATTTCGTAGTAATATGAACATTGGAAGCAATATGAAATATATATAGTAAAGGACTACGGCTGATGTGCAAGAATTCTAGAATTTAGTGACACAATGAAGAACAAAATCTAGAAATGGAAAACATTTAGAATTTAGAGCAGGCATTGGAAGCAGAATTTAGAAAGGCACTAGGCAGCAGAAATTTAGGATCCACAGAGATTGAATCAGTGGGAAATGCTTATGCCAGCTATGTGTATGACGCATTAAGAAATATTAGATGAATCTTTTAAATTGAAGTTTTCAATTTCTTTATTAATAAAAAAATTCCTTTCTATAATGCTTGCCCATGTGATAAGCATTTTTGATATTTTCCATGCTTCTGTCTAGTGAAAAGTACAGAAAATAAAGAGAAGATAAACATGTTAAGATTTTAGTATCAGAAGTAAAACATTCAAATATTACGTTTCCATTGTTCTTTCCAGAAAACTCTCCAATAAGTAAGAAATTCACCACAAACTTTCTGTAAAATACATCCATCACGTGTTAATACCATGAAGACATTTTTCATTTTGTCACATTTTTCTCAAATATTCTAGAATCTTGGGTCTATAAATATTGCAAATCTTCAAACTTTCAAAGCTGCAATGTCTAAAATCCTAAAGAAAAATTATCCCTACCAATTCTGTAACAGCAAAAAGCAGAAATATTTTTGGGGGAAAAAAAAAGAGAAGAAAGTATAAAATTAATTTTATAGAGAAAACTGTTGCACATTCTGAGAATTTTGAATATTCTGAGACAATTACATGTGAAAAACTCTTACTATGAAAAAAAATTAAAAACAAGACATTTTAATTAAATACATAGCTATTTGCTTTTGCTAGAGCTTTTTCGTAAATTGTGCTTTATAGCATTATATCTTGTTTTTTTCAGATTAAATATTTCTAATAAGTTGCCAAATGAAACTTTAAATATTACCATGAAAAATAAAAATGTTTTATTTTAATATTATTTTTTAAATATAATTCAATATATTACCATTATTTAATAAAAATTATCAACGTTACGATGTTTAAAAAAATCGTCGAAAAATTCTCAGATCTCGGAATTAAAAAGTTTCTGTAGAAATACTCTTAAAATCGCCAAATTGAAAAGTCGCAAATTTAGAGCCTTAATAAAAGAATTCACATCCCCAAAAGCGAAAAGTTGTTTATGAGCTCTGACTAGAAAAATTAATTCGAAATGCTATGTTTCGCTTAGAAGCTCTAGTACCCCATCATTTATATTAGAAATAGAAACAAATTATAACTCATGAAACCCGCAAAAGATAACCATATATGCGGTAGAGAGATCGCAAAAAATTCCTCAAAAATGCTAATTCACACTCGGCCACCAGCGGCAGAGCGGTAACGTCGCTGAACACTGGTTGTTCGGCGAGGTTCGAATCCCGCGAACGGGCTGACTGCCATGGGTGTTTTCGTGGTTTTCCCCATGTGTAATGTGTATACAAGCCAGTTTCCCTTAAAAAGTCCTCCACGAAGGCATCCCTCTCTTAAGGCAGATAGCCCTCAAGTGCTTTGCCGTAATCTAATAAGCCAATAAGCTAATTCACACTCAAAATGGCAGTCGTAAGAGCAGCCAGAAATTTCAGATGATTAAAATTAAGGACCTTCTGCTGATTTTGGCCAAAATTAAGGACTTTTAAGGACAAAAATCGATTCCAAAAAATCTAAGGACTCTTAAGGACCGTACGAACCCTGTGAAGGGGCCAGTTTTTAAAAAAACTGATGCCACATATAAACTTTGAGTTTTCATAAATGAAGCTGGTAAGATAGTTTGGTTTGCCTTGAAGAACATCATTAACAGGTTTCTGTGGAAATGACAAGCCTGACAATGCAGCCATAATTGAAGATACGGTAAAAAAATTAATCTTTCAGCTGGACATATTTTTTTTTCCTCCAGAATTCATATCCAGAATTTTCAGGGAAATCTTGATACAATAAGTAAGAGTCAAGGACAGAACTTCCACCAAGACACTGGAGACAAATGAGAGAAAAAAATACCAAAGTCCCTGAAATGTTAATATGATTGCAAGTTATTATTGGATGCTATTACATGAACATTCAAAGGCTTCAGGTACAAAAACAACATTATTAACGAAAAATAAAAGATATAGTAGGTCTCTGACTAAATCCTCGAAAAGCTTTTGTGTTTTGTTAATTCTCTTTATACTGAAATGAAAATTTTATTGAATAAACATTTAAAATTTAAAAATGCTCATAGTGCATCTCAAAACTGGATACATCACTTATGATAGTTTTTATCATTTTGCTATCGACTTTTAACTGATAACTATCCCTGTAATTCTACTAGACCAGTAGTTCTCAATCATTTTTGCCAAGCACCCCCTTCACCACTGCTAAGATCATTCCTACCTCTTTTCCAAAATTTAAAAAATACATTTATTTAGATTTAGATTATTTTCTAATGTGTTTTATAAATTAAAAAAAAGTAGCACAGAAAATACTAAAAATTGAATAAAAGTAATTTCTTATATTCATAAACTAAAATTAAATACTTAACAGCTAAATAAAAGGCTGACCATATTCCCCCGTTTTGAAACTATGAAATTCCCCTCTGGATGAGAAATCTTTCTAAAATGTTTTATTTCTTTTTATCATAAAGTGTGAACCAGATAAATAACCATTAAAGGGCTATAACTATTTACATAAAGAAGAGTGGAACCTGATTAGCTAAAACTAACTATAATATTTAAAAATGTTTTACCATCAGGGGCACCATCACAAACTACCAGATCCGCATTTTCACCTTTAAAATAACTTATTATATCCTCAGCTGTTGATATCTATTTTAAAATTTAAAATTATACAGTTAAATGATAAGAAAACATATAATACAAAACATATAAATCACATATCAAGGATTTGTTAGCAAACATAATATTCCTTCTCTACTTCTAAATATAAAACTGGGCCTAACATAAAACAATTTGAAAAGGCATTAATAAAAAGTGATAACTGATGTACTTTTGTAAAAATTTCCCTTTCCTCTCAGGAAACTGAAAGAAAATATTTGTTGGGTAAAATAAACAAAAATCTAAGAAATCTTTGTTGGGTAAGAAACAAAATCTCTCATGAAAAGTGTAAGAATTATAAACTTAGCAATGTATTGTTAAAAAAATTTCAACCTTAGTAATATCTCCTTGTATTTGAATGACACCAGGTAATGGTGCCATAGCTTGCAGATCAACAGCCACTATTTTTATCTCATCAGGATCTTCAGCATTACCTCTGTCAATAAAAATAAAATACATAAAACATCAATAAAATGAATATAACTTTATTAAACATTTGCTACATATGTAATAGCCATTAGACCAATATGAGAGATGCGTATAAAAACTAAATTAAGTAAATTTAATGGCATTCTTTTATCAAACTGGTAAACATTCAGTATGCAGTCTACCACTTTTAGTTACTTCAAAGGTTCTCTATGGAGTCAGCTTGGAAGCCTAGGGTCAATGAAATTTTAAAGGGGGTATATGATGAAGACAAAATAATGCGAAACGCATCCGATCCCTAAAGATCCTTCACCTTCGGACCTGTCAAATATAAAAACTGCGATCAAATCTTCACAAATCATTTCAAGCAACTTAAAATATTTGCTTATCCCATCTGTTGTGAATAACGCCAGATCATATGCTCTTCCCAAAATTCATAAAAGTGGTATTCCTTTCCGCCCAATTGTATCAAATTTAAGTACTGCCTCGTATCCATTAGCTAAATATTTAGTTTCTAGATTTTCCACTCTATTAGACAATAACATTTACACCATAAAAAATTCAATAGAGTTTGTAAAAAAGGTTAAAAACATTTCTCCTAGTAATTTACTCATGGTTTCTTTTGATGTAAAATCATTATTCACCAATGTCCCAGTGGAGGGTGCATTAAGATGTCTAGAAACCAGACTTCGCGAATTTCATTTCTCTTGCATCGAAATTGATGAGCTAATTTCTCTCACTCAACTCTGTTTGAAACAAACACATTTTGTTTTCCAAAATAAATATTACAAGCAAACTGAGGGATTAGCCATGGGAAGCCCCCTCAGTCCCATCCTGGCTGATATCTACATGCATTATTATGAATCAAAATTGTTTGAAACTTTAAAACTTCCCGGCATGGTTCCGCTACGTAGACGATACTTTTACCCTGTTTGAAGGTAATAAAGATGATTTAAATAAAGTTCTTTCAACAATGAATTCTATTGATCCTGCTATTCAGTTCACTTTTGAACTTGAGACTTGCAATTCTCTTCCGTTTCTCGACATTCTGGTCACACGTAACACATCCAACTTCAGTACTACAGTTTACCGTAAACCTTCATCGGTTTGCCTTCCACCACACTTTAAATCATGTCATCCGACTAAACAAAAGTTAGCTTCATTTTATTCCTATGTTTTCCGTGCTCTTCAAGTTTGCTCCTCCAAACTAGCCCTTGATGAAGAACTAAATTATTTAAAAGCAATAGCTATTGACAGGGGCTTTTCACCCAACATTATTAATCAAGCAGTTAAAAAATTCTCATCTCAACACACTAAAAGCCACACTCTTATTTTAGGAGATTATAAAAAATTCTGTTGTCATTCCCTTCTTTCCATCAATTAGCTATAAAGTTGCACATATTTTGCAGAAATTTAACTTTCGGGTTGTTTATTCTCCCATCAATAAAATTCCAACTTCTATACTCAAGGACCCCATTCCGGTATGAATTCCTGGGGTATTTATAGGATTCCTTGCCAGTGTGGTTTAATTTACATTGGCCAAACTAAGAGAGCCTTAAAATTTCGCGTCAAAGAACATGAGGCATATGTTAGAAAAAAGGAAACACAGAAGTCTTCTGTTGCTCAACATTGTCGTCCGAAAATCACACTTTCAATTTTTCTGCTGCCAAAATTATTCAAAAAACATCTTCCATTGGAGAACTGGATTTTCTAGAGGCATTTCACATTCATAAAAATCTTTCTGTTCTAGTTAACGATCCTAATTCCAATCCAAATTTGCCTTCGGCTTTTAGAGAAATTATGTTTTAGTTCTGGTTTCGCCAACAGATGGCGCCACTTGCTTATTCTTGTCCAGGCTTTCTTATCTTATCTAATCATTATTTCCTATCTTGTTCATTTGCGGTTTTGCAGCTGACGATGGTGGTTCGGTAAAACCATCGAAACTAGTCCTGTGAAAATTTGAAAATATAACGCTGATTTTTGTTGTTTGACCTCTGAATTAGGGGTATATGATGGTCAAGGGACCAACAGCCAAATATTCACCAGCAATTCATTGGCATAATCAAGACCTCATTGATTACAAAAATATACTAATAAATTTGATAATTAATAATTGTTTACTGATGTAAAGCATTACCATAGAAATACGTCACAATTAATTCAAAACATATGGGTATGCTAAGTATTAGAATTAAAAAAGTAATCTGAAAGAAATATCTCCAAATTAAAATTGTTACTGGACAAACATTACTGATTTTCCTTCTTTCTTACCCAGGTAAAGCAGATTTTGGTCAAGAATAACTTACAGTGGAAAACAAGAATTAGGTTGAATGTTTCTGAATAATAAGGTGATTTAAGAATTACGTTAAGAAAGCACAGCCATCACATTCATCAAAATACAATTCTTGAGCAATCAGAATCTGTGATTTTGTATTTTATAACTTGCTTATATTTGTAAAATTAAAAGGAATAAGAATACAAAAAATGACAAAGCATGCAGTCTAACAAATTATTTTTTTTTCCAACATATTCTAGTTAAATATCTTTCAGTTATGTATGTTTAGTTTTACTATGATTCTATTATATACTACAGAGAAAAATGTAAGCAGGCCAATGAAGAAAACTACTCTTTTAAAAGGAGCTGATGCAAGAAAAAGGCTAGAAATCCCAGAGTTATTTATGTAATTGATAGCATCACTAAAATGCTATTTTAAAATTAGATTTTGAAATAAAATGGCTGAAAAAAGAAATGCTTAAAACAACAACCATTTTTTTTTTTTTTTTGTGTGCTGACATCTAAAAAATAAATGATTAGCTAAAAAAATCAGATTGCATACTGCATGATTACTGAAATTTCATACCCAGTTAAATACGTACTTAAAAATCTTATCCCAAATTATTCATTCTAAGCTGTTTGTTACACCCCAAACAAGTTTGTTATGGTTATGAATACTGTATTATGCAGATACGGCGCTATGCATTTTGCTGACTTTGTAGGCAATAATTTCTGTTGTCAAGTCCCCTTCCTCCAAAATTCTAAAATTTTATTGCTTGATGCTTCACTGAATTTTACAATTTTGCTCTACCTAAATTCTGTTGTACCGGCAGTGATCATGATTTCAAACCTCCCCCCCCCCCGAGATTTACTGCGTTATCTGAAAAACAGCTCACAAATTTCTAAAAAGAGCTATAAAACTGATTCCACAGCTTTTAGCCACGGCCTCCCGCTTCGCTTCCTGCTGTGTTGACACAGGCGTTTGGAAACACAGCTTTTGAAACGAAAAGAAAAGGGACTAATTTCTCGCTGACTACAGTATAGATCATGTCCGTGATTTTTTTTGAGCTACTGCAATGTTCTGAAGTACACTTTTTCCTTTTATACACACACAATGTTTCGGCAACATTCATCTTGATAATTCAAGACCTGTTCATTAGCCCTTAGTAACTGAAAGAAATGCTTTTAAAAAGGAATGGGTGAATTTAGAAACAAAATGGTTGATATCAATGAACTGCGGATACATTAGTTCCAATTGTTGGGTTCAAATGAACCCTTCAAATACTAAAAAAGACCTTTTGCATAATCAAAAGGATTTCATCTGAGAATACATATTTCTACTTTTTAAAATATTACTTGTATTATTTACATTTTTATAATTTATAATACTTGTAATATTTAAAAAGTAATTTTCTACTTTTTTAAATATTACTTGTATTTTATTTTCAAAAATTTTCATAAATAATGTAATTATTTCCAATTTTAATAACTCGCAGAAAAAATACAGAATTTTGGGAATTTTTTTTATTATGTTTATTCAAACTTATACGAATATACAGCATCTTTTATACTCCTCATACATTTGCAACTGCATGCTTCAACCTGCATGTATATAAATACAATCCCATACATTTTGTAAAATTTCATTCCAATTCTTCATTATTAAAAAAACCTCTGATGCTAACGAAGTTGCTGTTCTGTATAGGATCAAGTTTCTCTTCCTTAGTAACTCCTTACCCAGAGACATCTCAATGAAGGCCAAATCATGCACAAAATTTACACCTGAAAAAATATGATAAAATGTTTTTAGTACCATATTCTTGACAATAGAGTACTTTACATATCCCCACCCACCCCAAAAATTGCAAGAAGTACAAATAAAAATTTCTAACAGAAAAATGCATTTTCAAACAGCTGAAATTGTTTCACAAATTAATAATGCAGATAGTAAATGTAACATATGACACTAAATATATTGCCACCCGGTGCAATCTCTGCATATCCTAAATTCTGCTGGCTGATGTCTTCGTAAGTTCTGAAAATTTTTTCGCCTCTAAATTCTGCTGCTCAGCGCCCTCTGCTAAATTATAAAATTTTGCTATGCAGTATTCTCTAAATTCTAAAAATTTTGTCTGCCACTGGTTGCACAGGCCCTGATCAAAGCAAAGAGGCAAGATGTTACCTGCTATTGATAAACTGCATTATAAATACCACAGATCTAAATAAATATCAGTTTTATTTTCCTAATATTCTATGAAAAATGTAATTGCAGTCAGAATTTAACGCACACAACATACAATAAATTGATAGGAACATTCAGTTCAAACTTTTTGCACAGAATCCAGATGACATATTTTTCAACAGTTAAGATACACAGGAAGCATGCCGAGTGTAGGAGCTATGACTACAACAATTATATGGATTTAATTCATCATGCTCTTGAACAAATGAAAAAAAAAATAATCAAAACCACACAAATGTTATTTCTTTGCTCCCTGAAATAATTGCATTCACTGAGTTTGGAAGCATCATTTATATATTCACTGCAAGATTAGCAATGTTTGCTGCTAATGAGCTACAATTGATATAACAATAAGGTTTTTGACTTTATCTATGGTGTTACTTTACTACAGGACTGAAATCTGAAATCAGATGGATTTCCAACTTGAATGTGTCTGCAGCAGCCTCTTCTGTCCCGTCATCGATTTTAAGATAGTTATATGTTGATCTAAACA